TTTTTTTTTTTTTTTTTTCAGAAAAATACATGCGCCCAAAGCGATACAAATTTGCAATGGCGAATTATATGGCTGATTTTGGGAATGAGGAAAACATCCCGCGAAGCAGCCGATCCGCGAGTTATACGGCGTCAGCGAATTGGTAGCCCAAATGCCATGGCATCTGTAGCAAGTGACGAAGCATTTTTATTGATAGAGTGTATTAAAAAATGCGCTGTCCAGGGGCGTGCTTAAGAGAAACTGTAGACTAACTTGAAAGCACTTGTGGCCGAGAGTTAATTCTGTCTTCAATGACACGCTGCCTTACAGGCCGTGATTTTACACGAAAAAAGGTGAGACATTAAGATACATGACCAGCTCATCATGGTTATGATAAAGTCTGCTTCTATGAACCTCGTCATCGTCTTAGTCCGTTTTAATCAACTGCTATAATATTGTTGCTCCTTCCCACATATCCAATATGGACATCCACGGTCACATCTTCCTTCTCAGCGGTGTCGAAAACATATTTTTTTCATTTCATCTGCGTTGTTTTAAAAATGAAAATCTTTGATGTTTTTCCCCTTATCCTGTAACGACAACAATTATATGATCTACAAGTGACCGAATTCCTCATTCTATAATTTTCAAGAGAATTGCAGACAGTGCTCGTGCATTATTTTTTTAACTGACAAATTGGAACAAAAAACCTGACGAAAAGAAAAAAAATCGTTTAACCAAGTTTTTTCACAAGTTGGACAATGACAAGTGTAAATGCACACGGGCGCACGTGCAAGAAAACAAAGTATATATCTATCTATATATCTCTCTATATGAAAACCTTTTTGAAAACGGGTGTATATATATATATATATATATATATATATATAATGCATTTGAGCAAGCATCACCCTCCAGTGACTCAGATCGTACGGGTAAACTTTTTCATACTTAACCCTATTCAGACCGGAAGGGGGGACTGTTTTGAGCCTCCCTTCCTTTAAACTTAAATAACTTCAAAACCGTTGAAGCTGTGAACGCCAAACTTAGCGAATTTTCCTAAAATTATCTGGGAACATTTTAAGGTCGTCGTGACGTGTACAGGGACATTGACGTTACCATGACAACCGAATTTGACAGCCACGTTTTTCAAAATGTCGTTTTTTTCTATAAAAAAAGGTATATTTCCATAGTTTATTGAATTATTATATTACACTTGATTTAGAAATATTCTATTTTTTATCATTGTATATGCAATCCAAGGTTTTTAGTGACTAGCTTGAGAAAAAACATGAATTTAAAGTTACCAAATGTCAGATGCTGAGCTAAGTTGTCAGCAGTGTTCATTTTTCAAGGAATTTTATCACTCGGACTTTTATGCTTCCTAAGCATCCTTGTATACACAGATTAGGTAAGGGAGGGAAAACGTCGACTTATTCCCTATTTTTACGTTTTGCTGGCGGGTGCGGGTGTGCCCTCCCTTTTCGACATCATTTCATTGTGTTTCTGGGTTTCCTACATACCTAATGCAAATAAACAGCCACGCCTGTGACCAAGCCTATGCTTGGAGAATTGTTCCGTTTAGCGAGGTGCGATTCTGCTGGAGCGTCAAAGCTAGAGCGTCAAATTTATTTATTTATTTGTCTATTTTTGAAGATTCTGAACTGAAGGAGGCAATCGCTGACATTCCACAAAACACACCTAACGAGTCTGAAGAATTGATTCGAAAGTTATATGGTCAAATATTGAATTTAAAAAAAGAAGAGGTAAAAGAACAACTCCTGGATGATCTGAAAGCTGTCGCATCCCGAGGTCTGCAAGAAGAGCTTAAAAAGTTGATTCAGCGTCAAGGTTTACAGCGGGAAGCAATTCATCTTGTGGTGAATTTCCTAACCAATATCCCAGAGCTTGCAGAATACCTAAATGAAAACTCCAGCCAACCAGAAGTGCTACGTGACGCTGGTTTGGAGATGATAAATACAAGACTTGGACCATATCTTGAAGTAGTGGGCGGACTCAGAGCTAAAGGTATCGATGTTTCAAAGGGATGGGTGAAAACCCTTTGCGAAAGAGCTCCTTCCTTCCAGGAACTTACAAGACTGAGTTTGCAAGACCTAGAAAAATGTTGCCAAGGAGCTAATGAAGGAGAAATTTATGAGATTCACCGACTGGTAGAAAAGGCTGAATCACAGAAAAACCGGCTCGCAGCTATCCCACAAGACGAGAAACTCATTCAGGAAAATAAAAATGCAAAAGCTTTGGACAAAGAGAAGCTAGAAAAAGCTAAGAAACTGTTGAATGAGGCCAAAGTTATGGGAACTCATGTATTTCAGTCATCAGAAAGAGTCGTTGATAGAAAAGTAACGGAGATCGTGAACACCCTTGAGCTTCCGGCGGATTGGTTTAGGCCAGATGAAGAAATATCATATATTCAATTATTTGAGCAACTGGATCAAATCATTGCAGAGCACCAAAATGTTGTGGAATCCGCAGACTCGTACAAGAGTGAAGTGGAAATCGTCACCAGGGCCAGCTCTGGAAAAGCCCTTTGTGCGATTTATCATTCCGAATACAAACCACCAAAGCCAGCGGGAAGACCATTGCTTCTAGTACCAACAAATGTCAACTTAACTAATCCTAGCAGTGCTCAGGAGATAAACTATTTGAAATTCTCTGCAAAGGGGACAGCTGCGGAATACGTGCGAACAGTGGAGTCGTCTAGCACGAATATTGGCATGGGCGTAGCTGGTTTCTATGGCCTGTTCGACGGAAAGGTGCAAAGAGGACATCGCAATGAGCGAAGTAGCCAAGCAGACAAGTCCGCAAAATTATCGACCACCAGTGCATCCGTCCTGCAGTACATTCACACCGCCAAGAAAACATTCCAACTCGAGCGTGACCAAATCAACATTTCCTTTCCAGCCAGAAAAGCGGCTAAGATGATAACCCAGGATGCGAAAGACGATGCATCAAAGCGTGAAAAATCAGCTCGTATCTTCATGGAACGATACGGAAGCCATTTTCCTGCTGGTGTTCAGACTCTTGGCGGCGTGTTTTTCAGCATTGCTGATGCCGAAAGTAAAAGCGCCATGGATACATACGAGCTGACAGAGGCCGCCGTGAATCATCTGAATGCTCAAATGTCTTTCGGCTTCCGCGGTGGAGCGTTCGGTATTGGAGCAAGTGGTACTGGTGAGCGCACCAGTAGTACAGGAAAAACTCACGCCAAACACAAAACCAGCCACAATGAAATATTCACCTTTTCGGTGAAGTCCATGGGTCCGCTAGCAACAAACCCGTCTACTTTTCACAAATTACTTTTACACAACTCCACCTGGGCGTTGATTGATCGAGGCAGTTTCGAAGGCTATATACCAGTTTGGGAGTTAATCAGAGATCTTGGAAAGGAGTTCGAGGAGGCAGCGGTAGTCCTGGAAGAGACGTGGCGCAAAGACGAAAACGCCAGGAAGAAAGAGTGGAAGGATTTGCAGAGAGAGAAAAAGGCAGAAGAAGAGTTAAAGAGAATTAAGGAGGAACATCTTAAATGGGTGAGTCAAGCTCAGTTGATAGTGAATTTCGTAATGGTTACCCCCCTAATCTGGTTCCTCAAATTTCGCTTCAACTTTATCCACAATGCCGAGATTCCGGCTTAGCCGGGTTCGAAATTTTCCACGTAATCGCGTTAAGCCGGCCAGCCAGACAAAGCGTATACTTCGAGAGAATTAAGTCACCAGCAAAATTCACATTCCTTTTTCAAGCGATCCATGGAACTACAATAGAATATAAATTCTCGAAAAAAATGTAAAGAAAATCACTTGGTGCATTATCCTTAAAGTCAGGATCAGTGAAAACGTCCGCAGTTTTAGAAACGCGGTTTTACAACTTTTAGTATAAAATTAAATAGGAACATTGAAACGTTGTACTTCTTATTGTCTATTTTAAGTATTTTGTGTTTATTTTAGTGTTTTAATAGTGTTGTATTAATTTGGTTACAGGTCTCGCCTGAAACCACCCATCATTTCATTATTATTATTACTATTATTGCTAATACTCTCAGATAAAGGTGTTAAATCTGATTTTCATTGGCTCCGGGCAACAACCAGTTGCCTACACTGTAAATAAGAAAGATCTGTTTTACCTCTTAAAAATTGGGCCGTTTCGGTGAGTGAAATACAGTCTTATTTTGAGTCTAATTTGGTTCCCTTAAATCAGGGCCAATACATTCCACACTGCAATTACCTCGGGCTGATTTGGTCCAAAGAGCTGAAATGGGCCCCAGCGTGGACTGGATTACCCTTTTGATTGAGCTTTTTTTGGCCATAAATTGTGCTCAAATGGCTCCAGGAGCGGCTGAATCAAAATTAGACCTGCAGGGCTGAATTGACACTTTGGGGCTGAAACAGATCTTCCTAATTTTCAGTGTAGTTAGTTTTCACTAAGTCTCTAATTGCACCCACTACAACAAACACAATCCAAACCAATATTTTATTTCATCTAACAAAAACAGTGAAACGTACATGTGGCACTTGTTATTATGCCAGGTTTGTAATACAGCGAAGAACCTGATGAAGTACAGAAATGTTGAAACAAATTCTACAGATTTCTTAGAGTCAAATCATTCTAATGGAAAACTTATAGGGGCTGTGTCACGGCAGTCCAGTTCATTTTGTTTAATTTTGTCAATTGCTCGCCCTCAATCGCTACGGAACTTAAAGAAAGCAAAGAAATCACATGTAAATGACAAAATCAGAGATCTGAGACAAACAAATATGTCTCCTGAGCATTATTTTTGAAGTTGAAGTTGCAAGCAGCAGGGATCAACTTTGAAAATCTTTTAGGCTGAACAGTTTTCAAAAACCCTGTTACGCATTGTTGTGTAACATTCAAAATATAAGGATTTGTATGGGAAAGAAAACCCTATCGTTTCTGTAACCTATACGAAAATGAAACGATTTCAGTAAAAAACAGCTTAGCTTACTTAAAATGTGTGTAACGTCTCTCCTGTGTAGTCCACGGGCCGATTTACGGCCGTTTTATGGGTTTTTATGTATACGGTTTGTCATTTCCCCCTACTTCCCCCCTCCCCCCGCCCCTTGCGGAGTTTTTCAAGATTATTTTCAGTGGAAGAGTAACAAGAAAAGAAGAACAGAAGGAATTTTATGTTTTTTTGGCGATATTCTCTTCCCTGTTTGACTAAATCGCACTAGTAGACAAAGTAAGAATTGCCTTTGAAAAATCCAAACCAAAAGAAGTAGGTGTAATATTCAGGTCTCGTTGTTATTTATCTCCTAATAATATACATGAAAAAATTTCTCGATAGTGATTGGCTAAGAGGAATGCAGTTTTTAGGTAACACAGTGCAGAAAAAAGGTAATTGAGTGCAGAAAAGAGTAACAAACGTGACATTCTGATTGGCTAATAAACAAAGGAACTCACTGAGAGCCAATCAAATGCGCCATCTAAATGGCGCAAAATTTGGATCCGCTCCGGACCAGTTTCGAGCAAAAACCGGAATGGTTGGCGATTGCAGCACATTTGCTTTTGCGACCGAAACAACTGTAGAGGAGCTGAAAAACTGCTCTAAAAACGAAAACACTGCGAAAAGCACTGGTTTTTGGCTCTCTTTTTGGAAGAATTGGTGCGTAGGTAAGGAAATTACAGATGAAATAGAAAATTATGAGCCGGCTGAGCTTAACACTTTGCTCGAGCATTTCTACGCCGAAGTAAACAATACAAAAAAGGTGAAGATTATGAACCAGAAAGCCTTAAAGTAATGAAGGCACCGCTTGATAGGCACTTAAAGAGCAAAGGCTGCACTCTGTCCATTGTACGTGACCGAGAATTTAGTTCGTCCAAAGGGTTGTTGGAGGAAAAAGCGAAACAGCTTCGCTTGGCTGGCCGTGGTAAGCGCCCAAACAAAGCTCGGCAAGTATCAGAGGAGGAAGAAGAAATTCCCTGGAAGAGCGGTAAACTCGAGGTAATAACCCAGAATCTTTATTTCAAACACAATGAACAATTCCATGAACTGTTCCGCCCGTTTCTGCAGCTTGCAAACTTTAAAAA